ACAAGGCCGAAGCCTGCCCCCCACGTCAGAGGACAAAGAGAGCACATCCTGCCGTTCACAGTCAGAGAAACAGGACTACACTGAAAAATAGGCTGAGGTCAAACTTCTATAAACCAAGGTGATGATGGCAGCAGCACAGCTGATATTTCTCTCCAGGATGGAGTCAGCCAAACAGGAATTGACCAAATGAAGCTACTATAGATAAATATAGAAAAAGCAGAGAGAGCATTACATATTCCTTATATTATTTACTTAAAGCCAGTTTTAAGACTCTCAACATTCTTACTTTTTTATATTTCTTAAATCAACTTGCTGTGCAGACAATTTGTCTGTAATATAGCTGTGAAACTGTTGATACATTTTTTGACTTGTTGCACTGCCAGAGTTGCTGCTATCTTGAATCTATATTTTCGATTATGCTGAGCTGAAACACAGCTAGCATTTCAATGATTGCACTCTGTCTCTTAAATATTTAATGCACTGTTACATCTGCAGGCTGCCATGTACATTCACCATTATGTTATATTACATCTGTGAGGAGATGGTTTACTTGTAAATGAGCATATTAATTGTGTTTTTGAAGCTTTGCTCTGTGCAATCAATTTGCATGTTGCAATTATGCTATTATTGTTGGGAGGATTTTTATAAATTGCTTCTTTCTGTTTAATGACCCAAAAACTGCAGCAAAACACTGTATTTTATCTCCTGTTTTATACGTGTATGTTTATATAAAGGATACATGTGAATGTGCTGAAACAAGGGTAAACTTTTCTTTCCTGCTAAAAATGATGACTATTAAAGCACTGACCAGGATGTAGAGTGCAACATTTTGAACATAACTGAGATGCTTCATTTATATCACCTCATGTGTTGGTTGTTACTTGTTGTCCCTCTTGTTTGACGGCGCAGAAAACCAAAAACTATTTGTCAGCACCGGGAATAAATGTCCTTTGTTTTAATCCCTCTGGTGTCTCTTGCACATTGAAGATGCATTCAGAATATTTGTATTTTCAAATATTTGTTTTGGTTTTTCTAGTTTTATTAGCTAGTTTAGGTTTTTAAACTGAAATTAAGCCTCATGGTCTTGTATTGAATCAAATCAGTTGGTGTTGGAGGCGAAAGCTAAAATGTAGTCTGAAATGCCAAAACAGATTTTGATTTTCTTAAACCATCTCCAGGGCCAAAGATGCACAGGCGGTACATGGAAACATTCATTTCAATAAGTTTCTGTTTGCTTTGGATACTTATTTTCACTCTTATTAACATAAGAGTGAAAATATTAACGACAGCACACTGTCTTGTAACTTTGTTACTGCTGTCAGCGATCCTCCTGTGTGAACTGTTCAACATCAATCCATCCGTTTTCCTCGCTGGTGCCTATCTCCAGCTTTCTATGGCCGAGATGCGAGGTACACCCTGGAAAGGTCGCCAGTGCATTGCAGAGCTTCACAGAGACAAACAGGACAAACAACCATTCACACACTCACACCTAAGATAATTTAAAGAAGCCAATTAACCTAAAATTCATGTTTTTGGATTGTGGGAGGAAGCTGGATCAACCAGAGAGAACCCTACATGCTCAGAGAGAACATGCAAACTCCATGCAGAAAGACTCTGGGCTGGGAATTGAACCCAGGACCTACTTGCTGCAAGACAGCAGTGCTATCCCATGTGCCTCTGACCAGCCCATTGCTCAACATATCTGTGTATATTATGCAGGGGCCATAAATAATTCATTTAAACAGTATAGATGTAGAATTTGTGAAGATTTATCAGAAAGTTGTCTTAAGCAGTATGTTTGGGTAGTCAGCAGTGTGTCATTTTAAGGTATGAATGCTTCCTGGGAATCCGATGTGTTCCACAGAAGGGGAACTGAAGAACATAGAGGGTTTGAGTGGTTTTCTCCTGAAGTCCAACATCATTCTCAAATGTTTTCCGCTTTTTTGGGTATAATAAGAGAGGACATGGGCCAAGGCCTCTGTACCGGTGTCTACGCTCAGTCATTGCTGTGTCATAACCAGGTTAAGCTACAGAAGTCCTGGATCTGATGAGACAAAGGGGTCCGCTGTAAACTTCAGGACTTTCTCACACACAGGAAGATCAGCTGTGGCCCTAAAACCAGTCCAGTGGAAATAATCATCAGTTTTTTATTAACCATTCCATTCAAAAATGTTTTTAAAAAAAGCATAACTCAAAACGACAGTTTTAAGATTGTCTCTGGTCATGGCGTCATGGACAAGCGTTTATCTTCACCCTTTAATGGATTTACTGTTACACTGAATGAAGACTAATCTAATGCAGATTGACAGTAAAGAATCAGAATCATCTCTTTCTGTGTGTTAGATTGATAAAATACCCACAGTTTGTGTTTATGATGGGAAACTAGGTGCAGTTTTTCACAGCAGGGCTAATCCTAAGAATATATAAACAAAGGAATATAAATAAAATTATGGGAGCTTCAGTCACTGGAGTTGATCTTCAAATAATATTAAGCTGCTATAAACCAGGATTTCCCTGCCTGCAGTAGAAAGATGTCATGCAGCATTGCTTGTAGAAAGCATAAGATTGTGGGAGAGGGGTAACAACTAGTCGAATGGGGGCAGCATTTCAGTAGATTATAAAAAATAACCAATTCACATCTTTGGATTACAACATATTTACATCTAAATGTAGAAAGATACCACTTATGCTGTTTTTTTCCACTCATCTTAAAGAACATCCAGATGTTTGCTGTGGTTGTTGGTCAATCTGCTGATTAGCTGCAAACTGATCAAGAAAAAACACAGGAAGCAGAGCAAGATCCTCAAAATCCATCCATCTATCCATTTTCAAACACGCTTATCCCAAGTGGGGTCGCGAGGGATGCTGGTGCCCATCTCCAGCAGTCAACAGGCGAGAGGCGGGGTACACCCTGGATAGGTCGCCAGTCCATATCATCAAAATCATTGAGTCCATTTCATTCATAGAGAGCAGCTGTAGCACCATTTTAAATAGGGCACCCAATTCTTTCTAAGAAAACAAACATAAGCACATTTATTATTTGCTAGTATAGCACAATATCCCACATGTTTAAGCCTCTTTAATCTAAAGGACAATCATATGCCACTTAAGATACATTTCAAAATTTTCATTACTGTCACAGAAGGGACGATTACATGTTGGCTAACACACAGCCTAATTATAGGAAAAAGAAACAAGAATAATTTTCTATTTAAATCCAGTTTTTAAATTAAATGAATTATCTGTACTCGAAAAACAGCAGATCTTTTCTAAAGTATTATTTTTAAAATAAACTTATTGAGTGAGTTTGAAAGGGTAAATAATCATAACCATTTATTGTCCTACAAATAAAAACCAAACAGAGCAAGTATTTGTTTCTTTTCTGCAGAAAAGTGAGAGAGAGGACAGACCAAGGGTGAGACCCCTTGAAAAGTTTGTACTCAACTCTGCCCAAACCTCTCTTTTCTGCTGCTTTTATCATTGGATTTCAAAGGAATTACAGGAGTGGTCAAAGGTTACCAGGAGGGGTCTGATGATATCAGCAGGGGTCAGAAGTTATCAGTCACCTACGGCTGCATAGCTGAATAATACCCTGAGAGAAATATTTGCTCTCCTCATTTAGAACAATACTTAACATTCCTGGGCCAAATGCTTGTAACTTGAAATAAAATGATAAGATATACATGTTTCTAATAGATTTTTGTTTCATTACTGTTGCAATTTAAATAGAAATTAGAAACAATATTTTGTTAATTAAAATGTTTTAAATAATGTTTAAATAAAAAAAACAGTTTTGAGTGTAAACTTTAGTGTTTTCTAAAATTTTGTGTTTTCTTAATTATTTTGTTTGTTTTTCAAAATTATTATTTTTTTAAAACTTTGTACAGGTTCTATATTTGTAATTTTCTTTTTAAAATGTCTGGGTTTTTTTCTGACTGAGTTTTACGAATGCATTCTCTTCAAATTGTGTTTCACATTTTCCTCATTTCACGCCCAATACAAACAATTTGCTCTTAACGGTTGACCAAAACCCTGTTGCTGCTAACATCCAACAGATGAATAGAAATGCATCTTCAGTCTTTCCAGAGGAAAAGGGAGGAGAATGGGATCGGGAAAAATACGTTTTGAAAAGAATACACTTTGTAAAACCCAATCAAAAAATTACAAATATAGATTTTTCATTTGCAAGAAATTCTAATTTGTTTTCTTTTTACAAAATAAGCTAAAGTTAAATTTGGAAGAAAAAATATAATCACCAAATCTGAGAAAGCAAAACCTTTAAACCTGTTTTTAATTAAAAAAAAAACATATATAAAAAAATCTAGGTTTTATTTCAGGATCACATTTTTTTATTTAATTTGGAAACAAATCCACTTCCTTTGTTTCTCTACATTTTGGCTGCAAGAATTATTATTATTAATCACTTATTGCAATATAACATTTATGCAGCAATTAAGAGATCTTCATCATCAAATCACAGAACCTCATTAAAAAAAACACAAACTACTTAAGGCCCCGTCCACACGAAGTCAAAACGAACACGAAACACTAATATTTTCCAGAACGTTTGTCGTAAAGACGGAGACGTAAAATAAATGTGATCGTCCACACGAATCCATGAAAACGCTGCAAAATGTATGCCAGGCCTATAAGTGGCGCCAAAGCAAAAATAGGCGACGAAATGTTGGGCATGCGCA